GTTCGTTGTAGTTTTTGAAAAGTGATTTCTGTTAAATAAAACATCTCCTTTTGGAGTAGACTTTGAGCTTTGTAACTTTGCAGATATTTTTTATGCTCAAACAGCAACATTACAGACTAACTAAAGTTGAAAAAGTGAAAAAGCATAATAGGGGACCCCTTTAAGACCCGTTCACACCAATAACGATAAAGGCAGCTATAACGCTAAATATATTCCCTGATAGCACACGTACATCACAGAGACGTCTATTTGCATTTACATCTGCAAGACGTTTGTTTTAGAGTGTTTGCTCATCTGCAATACGTCTACAGGACGTTTCCTATCAGATGTCAAATAGACGTTTAGAAGATGTATGTAAAACTGACAAGTCGGGTGTATTCTGATTGGCTGTCAATGTTTTAATCGTTCATCAGCTGTGTCGTTATAGTTGTGGTGTGAACTTAGAACTTAGAATAGGGTATTCTAACAGAATTAGGATGCTTTTTAAAACGTTATCATTATATTTATCGTCCTTGGTGTGAACGGGTTTTGTTATTTACATATTTGCATATTTGTTAAATGATTTGCATCTTAAAATTTATTCACAATATACATTTTTGTGTACGCACCCTGGGAATCAAACATTTGCATTGCTAACAACAGAAACTTATAGTATAGTTTAAAAACACTCCTCTATTAATTTATTGATAACAAAGTGATTGTTTTATAATATTACTTTGTTTTTGTCCTAAAGACATTATCACAGCATGGATGCCTTCAGCAATTACGACCTCCTGGACGCCCCCACGGGCAGAAAAGTGGCTGAGGGACATAAAGCCAGTTTCTGTCTGGAGGACACCAGCTGCGATCCGGGTGTGAGGAGAAGATACGCCTGCACAGCTCACACACAGGTCAAGAGAATGAAGTGACTCATGTGAAACGTCAAATTTTCCTCAATTAAGTCGTTTTATTAGCCGAACTATTGTCTTTTTTGGAGCAGGGATTGGGCCCAGGCTGCTATGACACCTACCATGCCAACATCGACTGTCAGTGGATTGATATTACGGATGTTTCTCCTGGAGATTATATTCTAAAGGTGAGTTATCAGTTAGTCATTCCATTATTTCGTTACACCAAAAGTTAGAAACACCTTTTGAATCTGTGAACCATTGACAGGTAACCGTGAACCCAGGCTTCCAGGTGCAGGAGTCTGATTTCTCCAATAATGTTGTTAGATGTGACATCAGATACACTGGGTCGTATGTCCAAGCGTATAACTGCAGAATCACAGGGTGAGTTTTAAAAAGCCATCGAATCAGAAGTCTCTTTATCACACTTTAATGGTGTTTATTTATTTCACAGATACTGATCCGGTTTACTTCATACAAACCTCCAGTGGTGCTCTGAATTGAAATCCTCAACAAAAAAAAAAAGTAATAATAAGTTATGGATAGATTGAGCATTAACTTGACTTATTTTTACTTATTTAAATTTATGTTCTCTGCAGACACTCATAACAAAGTTATTGACATATTCAGTAAATGTTTAATAAGTGCCAATAATGCTATACTATGAATTTCTTTTAATTTATTAACCTTTTGTAATTTAAAAAAGTATTCAATTACATTGTATATTTTGCTTTTTATTTCTGTAAGTTGGTGTAAACGTTGGTGTTACAGTTTTAGAAAAACTCAAGTAAATAACATTCACAACAGGTATGTTTTGTTCAAAGAAGACTAGAAATAAAGTTGAGAGCTCACCCAGATTTTTATGGTTCATTCATAGGTTTTACTGCTAGTTAGGGGTGTAACGGTTCACAAAATTCACGGTTCGGTTCGATACGACACAGGGGTGTCACGGTTCGGTATGTTTTCGATACAGCAAAAACAAAGAAATGCCAGACAAATTTCCTTGATTTTGGAAGGCCTTTTGACTTTTGCCGTTTATCTAAGATGATTTTGGACGCTTTTTTAACATTCGTTTTTTATTTATTTGGTTCCACGGTGTTTGCTGATTTTCAGTGTTTTATATTTAAACTTTGTGTAAGTTATTTGTTATTTTATATGAGGCCTATAGCATGTTGTGTTTGTATTCGTTTTGCTAATAAATTAAACATTCAATGTTTAATGTAAGTGAGTTTATCGTACTGTTTTGTTGTTGTCAATTCAATCAATTGACGCCGAAATGCCATTAGTTCGAAAGTGAAAGTAAAATGGCGCACAAGCATTTAAGCTATTTAAAAGTGAGGAAAAGAGGGGAAACTCTAACGAACTACCTCACCGTCATAACCTGGAGTACATTATATTTCACACACTTTAAGCTCTTATTTTCCCCCAAATGTAATAGGATTACTTCAAGTTACGAATCGTTCGGTTTGTAATGCGTACCGAACCGAAAGCCTCGTACCGAACGGTTCAATACAAATACGTGTATCGTTACACCCCTACTACTAGTTCATGTTCTTTAACCACTGGTTCATATATATTCATAGTTTTCTGAAGTGATTCTGGATGTGGCTCAAATGAAAATGGGTCTGGGGTCAAATCAACACAGCCAGACATCAGAGTCATGAAAGTTCAGTTTGCTCAAGACCTCCAAACATGCTGAGAGTGCAACAAAGTCTCCGGAAACGTTCTCTTCTGCTTGAACATTTAACATAACACGAGAAAGAGAAATTCCTATTGAAACATTCATATGAGAGCTGAATTCAGAAGGAAACTCTGTCACTTTTGACTGTGGAGAAGACTTCTATTGGACGTTTTGAAATGAGCCACAACCTGAGTGGCTGGGAAATTTGATTAATATGTGTTAATTAAAATGAAAAAGCCCACAAGGGGGTTACTGTAAATCATAGACAAGGCACTCATTGAGAAGTGTTAGTCTCAGGAAAAAATGACACATGCTGATGGTGAATGATGTTTGGAGAGGTGAAAAACATCTCTGATGAATGGTGGGGTCCTTTCCTTTTTTAACTAATTCAGATGCACAAATAATCCATTACAAATCATCTAAAATTGTTAAACAAAATTGGTCATCTAAAATTGTTAATGTAGTTCAGTTAGAAGTTTCCAGTTCAGATAGAAATTAAAATAACAAAGAGCCTCTTTCTAACTCTTCTAGAATTAAAGACATGTATTTAGTTGAAGTTTGTATTGAAGTGCATATCTTTAAAGAAGTAAAAAAAAAAAAAAAAATCAGAACATCTAATGCCTCAAAAGTATAATAAGATATTTAAAGGGATAGTTCACCCAAAAATGAAAATTCTATCATTAATTACTCACTCTCATGTCGTTCCAAATCTGTAAGACCTTCATTTATCTTCGGAACACAAATTAAGATATTTTTGATGAAATCTGAGAGCTTTCTGACCCTCCATAGACAGCAACGCAACTGAAACGTTCAAGGCACAGAAAGGTAGTAAGGACATCATTAAATTAGTCCATGTGACATCAGTGGTTCAACCTGAATTTTATGAAGCTACAAGAATACTTTATGTGCACAAAGAAAACAAAAATAATGACTCTATTCAACAATTTATTTTCTTCTGTGTCAGTCACGAGTCACACATGCGTCATGGTACTCTCATGAATGCGCGTTAAAGATTGACATGGAAGGGAAGAAATTGTTGAATAGTCATTATTTTTGTTTTCTTTGTGCACAAAAAGTATTCTGGTAGCTTCAGGACATTACGGTTGAGCCATGCCACATGGACTATTTTAACGATGTCCTTACTATCTTTCTGGGCCTTGAACATGGTAGGATCCTTGTTTTTGCAGGGTCTGAAAGCTCTTGGATTTCATCAAAAATATCCTAATTTCTGTTCCGAAGATGAACGAAGGTCTTGCGGGTTTGGAACGAGACGAGGGTGAGTAATTAACGACAGCATTTAAATTTTTGAGTGAACTATCCCTTTAATGCTTCAACTCATGTTCATGCGACATTCAAATATAATATTTACATTTTGACAGGGAAATTTCTATTTGAATCCACAATAACAATGCTATTTTTGTTTATTCAAAATGTCATTAAAATGTTATTCATACATTTGAATGTGCATAACCTTTCTTAGCATACAAATTCTTTTTTGGGCCACTGTAAAGGTGTAGAAATGAGTTGTTATTCTACTCCAGTCCACTAGAAGCTTAACACCTCTGACCACACAACTTTCCCATCCTATGAAGAACACACAGGAACAGTCAGTGCTGGCATCTTTTCATTCACAACACCTACACAGACCTCTCACCCATAAAGCATCATGGCATGTAAGGATCACATAAACTCGTGTGTAAAGCTGCTGCTGCTGTCGGTGGTGTTGTGCGCGGCACGCGCCTCTGCTGACAGGACTAAAACTCTCGACTTCGATGTCAAACCTGGAGGAGTTGTGCAGACTTTCTCTGCCAAACTTGTGAGTAAAGCTCCTTAATATTTTAGCAACGAATACAATTTGAAAACATGTTTTTATGAATCGAAAGTTAAACGTATTCGTTGCACTGGCAAGATTTCGTCTTTACATAGTCGCTTTTTGAAAGTATATTAATACTGTACTTCGTATCTGTTAAAATGCATGTATATTAAACTCGTATAGTAATGAATGCATGCTGTGCGCGACGCGTTGAAAGGAAATCCACCCGTCGTCTTCTCATTGGACTGTCGCTGACATTCACTGCGCCGCCTAGCACACGGCTTGAATTTTTAAAGGAATAGTTTAGTCAAAAAACCAAACTTATTACATTATTTACTCACCTGCATGTTATTCCGACACCGTATGACTTGATTTCTTCTGTCATCTAATTTTGCTGCTCTTTTCTAATGAATTAAATTGGATGGAGATGTGAAGAGCCGAAAAGGCTAATGCTACGTTCAAGTCCTCCTGGGACGTTCGTATTTTTTTAATTTATTTTTTTACTTGTAACATTTTTTTTAATTATTTTTTTCCCCCCCTTCCTTTATTAGGATCAGCAACAAATATACAACACTAGTACCAACAAAATCTTAAAGAAAATTTCGAGTTTCCCACTCGTAATAACGACTTTGTGGTGCGTTCAACTCATAAATACGATCTATCCAACATGACTTGAACACACCATAAGTCCTGATAAAGTAGTCCGTTTTACCTGTGGTTATAAAGCTGCGTCCCAAATGACGCACTATGCACTCATACACTTTGTACTTATGCACTATGTACTCGATCATGTAGTGTATGAATTATATAAGTTTATTTTGTCATTCATAATCAGAGTCTGATAGCCCCTCCCAATTCGCTACATAATTAAAGCTGTGACAGTTGAAGTGTCCAACATTCCACACTTCGTTTCTCGGTTAAGTGCATCATCCGGGTATTTAAAGTGCACTTTTTCTTTTTGGAATTTTCAGTGTGAACACACTACTCGCACTATTTATACTAAAAAAAGTCATAGAATGAGTGCATAAGTACGAGATTTGGAATGCACCTTAAGTCTTATGAAGCCATTCGATTTCTTTATGTGAGGGACAGACCAAAATATTGCTCTCTATCATACCTCTCAAATCAAATCTCATATTCCCTGATAGCACAAGTACATCATGGAGACGTCTATTTGGCGTTTGCATTTACATCTGCAAGACATATTTTGAGTGTTTGCTCATCTGCAATACGTCTATAGGACGTTTCCTATCAGATGTCAAATAGACGTTTAGAAAATGTCTTTAAGATGTTTGATTTAGAATGTATGTAAAACTGACATCTTAAAGGGATAGTTCACCCAAAAATACAAATTTAATGTTTATCTGCTTACCCCCAGGGCATCCAAGATGTAGGTGACTTTGTTTCTTCAGTAGAAATACACCACTATGTCCAACTGGCGCGCGCACGGCATCCGATGCGCGAGGTGTGTACGCGCTCTGGCGTAGTTTACGCAAGCGCCGGAAGTGATCTCTTTATTAGAGGTAAAAATTGATATAAATACTGTTCGGTTTCTCACACAAACTGATCGTTTCTTGTCTTAGGACATCAATGTGTCGTCACGAGCCGCAGGGTTTAATTTGGATTTGTCTGTGCATGTTTTTTTTACTCTCATAGATTTTGTTACCATTGCCATGCATTATACGACTGATAGACTGCAACGGCTGGACTTAAAAATCATAATTTGGGTTCTACTGAAGAAACAAAGTCACCTACATCTTGGATGCCCTGGGGGTAAGCAGATAAACATCAAATTTTCATTTTTGGGTGAGCTATCCCTTTAAAGACGTCTGTCAGATGTTTGTACACAGCAGATGCTTTCCAGATCAAGAGATCTTTAACAGACATCTTGCAGACGTACCTGTGCTGTCTGGGTTCAGATGTAAGTAGCGTTAGGTGTGACGCAGTGTTCATTGGTTTTCATTCGTACCACGTTTAAACCTTTCAGAAACGTTTTATTTTAGTATTAATAACTGTCGGTATTTTGACAGGAACTATTGTTACCATGGTTATTTTTGTAAGGGTCAACATCCTTTCAATGCAGAGCCTTCTTCAAAAGTTCAGTTTAGTCTGGTTAATTTGCATATTACGTAGGTGGAAGCTTGGCATTGTCAACCTGTTTATCTATTTACAGTGATCTGTTTCTTGGTTTCGTTTTAGAAAAAGTATAAATGCACCTTCAGATATGCTTGTCAAGGAGGAACCAACGAGGTAAGACATATTTTCTGTTATTTATAAACTAAAAGTATACAGTTCACAAAATAAAGGTCAGTGCAACAAAAACAAAACTTTTATTTTGTAGCGCATTATATATAATGCGCTACAAAATAAAAGTTTTGTTTTTGTTGCACTGACCTTTATTTTGTGAACTGTATACTTTTAGTTTATAAATATATATATATATATATATATATATATATATCTTTGATCTTGTTTGCTGAGAAGTTTGTTATTATATTTTCAAAGATAAAATGAGGAAATTAAAAGTTGCTGTTCGACCCTCCTAAAATTTGTAGCTTTGTATCTGTAAGCATTTTAAGACAATGCCAACTATTGTTACGGCATCAAGACATTTGTCACTCTGGCACTAACGACCAGGAAATTGTAGCAATTATGCTCCTGTTGTAAAATGTCCTGATTTCACAGAATTGCACCGTTTCAGACTTCAATGTGAACCCTTTGTGCTTTAATTTCCTCTAGCAATGGCAAATGAGCGTTGGACTGAGTGACGATGACCAGATGTTTTCCTGTTCAGTATGGAGGTAACTTTCAAAACGTTGGTTTTTGGTGGTTCTACTTAATATGCAATACCAAAAATGAGGTATACTCAGAAGTACAAGCAAATCTAATCTCGGTTTTCTGTGTTTTCAAACATTGTCGTGTAATTTGAGATGAAAGAGGGAACGATACTGATTTTTCTCTGTCATTTTTTTTCACGATAGGCCCCAAGGGAAGTCATACTTGTTTTTTACCCAGTTCAAAGCTGAGATAAAAGGAGCCAAGATTGAATATGCCACCGCATATGTAAGTATCATATTAACTTTAGCTATTCTTTATGACCTGACACCACATCAACTGAGTGAAACATTCAGCAATCCATAGAATATATGAATCAATATGAAGAAATGTGCTTTTAATGCGCTGGCGCATTTCATCAACCAAGAATATTCAGATGATAACTTTTTATTTGTGTGCTTTGCACATACAAAGAATTGGCACAGGTTTTTGAAGATCTTGTTTAAAATTTGTCCTTAGTCGTGACACATTGACATTTGCGGCAGATCAAACCTTAATTCAGATTCCTAACGCTCGGCGCTCTCAGATCAAAAGCAGTCAGCCCTTTTTGTGCAGGAGTTGCATATCAAGACTTCGTGAAAACATCTTTATCTTCAGGTTAAATTGAAATTCTCAGTAGCGGGATGACAGTGATATCCTGGTGGCCTTGTTCCCTGTGTAAATGTTTGAAACAAGCGCTCCATAGACTCCATGTCTCTTTTTGTTTGCTCAGTGAGGATCTCTTTGTTATTCAGCCCACTCCTCTAGGCTTCTCCGTTAATGTCTTCATTCTCTCTCTTTCTCTTCCTCTCAGTCCCAGACGGCCGTGGGTGGACAGAGGGATGTTGCTTTGAAGGAAGAAGAGTACAGTGTGTCAGAGTCTTCAGGTGAGTCTGCATATTCCTACTTCCAGCGAGGTTGACGCAGCAATGGGGAAAAAAGCCTGGAAATGTCAGAGCATTTTTTTTAAATCTTGGCAATTTCAATACTGAATATAAATGTTTCTAATCAAGCACATCTTTATTCTGTCATTCAGTGACCCACAGAGAAGGGACATTCCATTCCGAGCTTTCCAAGCTCACTGTCATTGGTCGGACACGCCATGATGAACTCTGATTGGCCCATCCGAAAGAGGATTGTCCCATCACTCGAGGACATTTATTTGACAGCTATGGACACTCTGGCACTTAACTGCTCACTGTCATAAGTCAAGCAAAGGAAATCAAACCACGGGAAGTTATGAAAGAAAGAACTTCCTGTGATAGAAAATTCTACAGAGATTTCCTCTAGAGGCATCATTACATTAAGAACTGGACTGATCATCTAAGGGAGGTAGATGAAAAGTCTATTATCGGACAATGTACATGCACATTTATTCATATTTGTGAGGTGATATGAAGGCTTCTTCAAATTAAGTTCAGAGCAGTAGATTGATTTCTATTCCTGGCAGCATTTATGGGTTTAGGGTTTCAGCCTGACTTTGACTTCATACCTGCAAATCTGATTATCCTGAGCGCATTCATGCTCATACTTACTTTCTTAAGCTGGTGTAATGGCACGCTTGTAGAGAATTTCCGCTAAATCTTTGGGGTATCCTTTGATTATTTCTGTGGTGAAGGAAAAGACAGAAAAACAGTTACTTGAGTTCCTTTTTTTTCCCCAATTGTGGTTTATTCTGATAGCTGATGTACTGGAATTTTTAATAAATCTTTTCAGAACTTTTTGGTTTGACTTGTATTAATGTTTTTCATAAAGTGAATGTGAATTCTCTGTTTCCAAGCACTGTAATCTCTTGACATCTTTTGCATTTTATTGCACTTCAGTGAAATTTGTATAATTCTGCTGCATGAACTTTAATTACACTAAAATGTGTTTGAAAAGAATCTGCAGAAATCCTTCTATGTGCAGATTCTGGTCATATTGTGGGATTTGTCCACTCAGCTCTGCAAAAGGACTGTCAGTACCACAAATGTAGATATGAGCATCTGCACCATGTCATAATTCTCATTGTCAGCAGTTCTGGAAATTAATGTCTTGAGCCGACAACGTTACATTTTACCTACATTAGATTCTGTGCCATTAGACTTTAAAAAAAATATATAATAATTTCCAGAAAATGCTTTATACCGTCCTACATCTTTAAAACGCTTGAAATGAGCATTGCAATACACATGAGGGAGACAAAATGCTGTAAAAGTACCTTTCGCCCATTTTCATTTCAGTACCTGTTGAAAAATGCCTACATTTGAATACTAAGTACTGTCGCATTGTGTTTTTGTTAAAATATCCTCAGGATGTGTATCTGAGAACATCAAATTGCTAAGGCAAGACTTCAAACACTAGACTAGAGTTAGGAAAGCAATAAAAAAAAAAAGAATCCTTTAACAGATGGGGGTTGCTGGGAGATTGGAATTGTGATTGCGTCCCATTCCAGATGTCATCTAAGGCTAGAAATAATCTACCGCTACCTTCGGCTTGCCTCTGACGTACAGTATTTCTAAGAAGTGGTCCCCAGTGACCCATGTCACTCTAGATTTATTAGTACATGATGTTTCTGTCGTGTCCTCCGTATAGACCTAAAGAGAAAATGTATTACATGGTTCACCTGCGGTCTAAGAGACTTTCCGTTCAATAAATTGCTGCTGCACTCTGAGTTATCGGATCCCGTAAAGACCAAACTTACCGCAAAGGTGCCTGTAACATGGTACACCATGTAGAGTGTGTAATGCTCCACATTGTACCCTGAAGCCACGGTCTGCTCAAACAATGGTCGAGAGCAGTTTCCGTCTAAAGGGGTAGGGTGGCGTCTTCTGACCTTTGTCTTTTGCTTTAGGATTCACTCTTCCTGTTGTGCTGGCGTAGGGGTAAGGAGGAGGCTTCTGGCTACTGTGCCTTGAAGCAGTCACTGATGTATCTCTTTGAGAAATTACCAACTTCTGAGTTGATCGCCCTTTGTTGAACTCATTATGAGGAACATCTGTTAATATTCCCAAGTGATAAATAAACCTTTACCTCCTTCATTTCCAGATGTATCTCTTTCAGGCCATGTAGAACCTCCTCGAGATTCACAACAACTCTTTGGATCTGGTCCCGAATAGCTCTTTGCGAGTGCTTAGAGCTGAAAGTGTAAGACCCTCTTCCTGGTCCACTGAGATCCCCTTGGGAGACCTTTGCTTGACACTTAAGGTGCATAGAATTGGTCTTGTTGACATCTTTGGTAGACAGCATAACTTCATGCACCAGACTAGGTCTGTTAAATTCTTGCATGACACGTCCCAGGCATCTACTTAAAGTTCCCTGTCCGTTAGAAGTGCAAAGTTCTGCATTCTTATTAAAGGTCGAATTGTGAGTGGCACTTGCGTCCATCCAGTCCGATGCATGTTGTTCTGTAAGCAGGGCCCATCGCACAGAGCCTGATTGTTGCTCCGCTGCACAAACAGCCACTCCACAGTTTCCATGACCTCTGAACTGTGTTGGCGCGTCCAGAGCACACTTCCTCAAGAAGGGGTGTGGCTCGATCTGGTGCCGATGGACCACAAAGCTGCATTCTCTCAAGCTGTAGTTCACAGAGACGCTGTTATGTTGCAGGCCCTTCCCTGGAGGTCGATTCCACCGCACGCTGGTTAACTCTGTCTGACAAATCTGGCCAGTCACGTCTAGCCGTGCATGACCCCCCCGATTAGCTAAATGTTTCTTGGCAGTATATCCATTGAGGGGGGAATTCTGTTGCTTTGGTCCACAGGTGTTCGTTACGTGGTCCCCAGTCCCAAAATAGGCAAGGATGTCCGCTTGGGGTCTTTGAATTCCATTTTGTAGTTGGTTTGAAGTGGTGGGTCGCATGCGTAGCTCCCCGACCCCTTTTGTCTCGGAGAACATTCTGCGGCCCAAGAAGGGGACTCTCGAGAGGACGTGTCCCTTCTTTAAGTGTCCCGGCCTTGTCATTACCAGGAGATGTTTTTCTCATCTGTCCTGTCTTTAAACTTTCTCTTGCATGTTTCTTTACTCTGACCTCCACCTTCTGGTGCGTTGTTTTCTCCCGCAGATGTTATCCCGGTGTGTTTTCTTCCTCTGGACCCTTGCCCTTCTTTCTCTCTTACCTCACTTCGCTCCTGTCGTCCTCTCGTTGGTGGCAGGCCTCCGTTTTCCACCCTCTCTCTCAAACTCCCTGCATTTCTGTTCCACTGGCTGTTGCTTGCTTCCTGCCTTTGACTCCCTCACCATCCCCTCTCTCTCGCTCGCTCGCACTGCGCTGCCTCCCTTTCTGGTTCATTCTTCCTCTCTCCCTCTCTCCCTCTCGTTTACCTACTTGCAGGAACTCGTAGTACCTCAATCAATGAGGGGGGGTCGTGGTGGGGAGGTTTAATCCAGTGCTGATGCTGTGTGTCCATGTATGTTCCCAGCCTCAGGACTGATCTGATTACTCCTGATTTGCCTCAGTACGCTATAATTACTCCCAGGATTTTATAGCAGGATGCCATGGGAGGCACTCTCCCCCTCTAGTGCTTTATGGGGCATCACAGGCAGGGCTAGTCCCTAAAAAAACGCACGAGGATGTGACTTTTAAAATTAATAACCTGGCACACTGCAGCATGAAAATACTTCTTAATGTCTTTGGTTTATTTCTGGTTTCTCTGGTGTGTAGGGGTTCTCAGAAAGTGCATATACTCAAGTTTTAATACTACATTAGGAGCATTTCAATTGCATTTTTTAAATGTTTTAGTAACCACAACAGTTTTATGAGCTATATAATGACCTATAGAAAAATGTAATTAAATTGGAAAGTCAATTTATATGAAGAGTTCATTTGCAAAAACCGATAAACGACACTTTAAAAAAAAAAAAAGAGCTGATTGCCGTGCATTATTCTCCACATATAGCGCGATCTGAACCCTAAACACGTTTTGTCAAAAAAGCCGGTTTTGTCCATTTTCAAGGCATCCCGAGTTCACGTTTCACTGCAGAAGCCGACAAGCACCCTTGTTATTTTTGAACAGAATATTATTACTTAATCAAAACAACCCAACTGCAGTTTGATTGATATTACTTGGAATGCGCAATAAAAAAACGTGATTTCTGAAAAAAATAATTAAAATGGAGTTATCGGTTTTTGCAAATGAACTCTTCATATATTTTCCACAGTTTTAAGTATTTCTTTGTTGTGGGACTGAAGTCCCGTGGAAACATTTATTTTCTTCACACTGCATTTGGTTCAGTGTTAATTTTGACAGCAAATTTTGATTTAGATTTACTCATAGTCTTTGGACTAAAATGCCATTTAGTTTTAGTCATATTTTAGTCATCTGAATTGTTTTAGTCTAGTTTTAGTCAACTAAATATTTTAAGACTTTAGTCGACTAAATCTACAGTAGATTAAGTCGGCTGAAATCTAATGGGTTTAGTTACAGTGTAATGTATTTATTAATAATTTCTCTAAAATTTCCAAACTTATTATATATTCCCGGAGAAAACATTTATTAACCTGGTAATATGAACATGCAATATAGACACAGATTTAACTGTTCTGACACATAACATGTCTTTACCTCAAAATTAAATAAAACCACTTCTCATAACATAACATGGTCCACTTTTCAATGAAATACCAATGGTTCTATAATATGCATTCTTTATAACAACTTGCTTACTTGCTTACATATTTATATAGATTAAATTTAGATTAATCCTTATTAGGGCTATTAAAAGTGATTCAATCAAGAGCAGTGAGTGATTTTCTCTTTTGTTGATTCATTAACAATAAGGACAGACAACAGCAACTAAATTAGGCTGCTGTCCCTTTAAAAAAGACTGCACGGATTCAATATACTGGTATACATCCGATATTCTCCCAACAGTTTTCATTCTGGACTGGATCTCTTCCCAGTCGCCCCTCCCTAACATTTTCATCTAATTTTTATTCGTTGACAAAATTCAATAGATTTTCATAATTTTGTCATTCAAAGAGTTTTTATTTCGTTATCGTCTTGTTTTTGTCTGAAAAAATGTTGTTGGCAAAAATTATGACGAAAATTACTCATCAGCGAAACATTGATTTGGTTTCAGTTCTTTTCTCATTTCCACATAAACTGAAAGATCACTCTGAGAAAGGTCAGAAATTTTACCTCTAACACAGTCTCTGATTCATATCAACTCAAACTAAAGTACATCCAAAAAAAGAAAAAGAAAACTTACATTGGGACTGCATTTACTAACTATATTTTATTATAAACTACTACTTCATGGCCTTGATATTGCAAGATAATAAACAATTACAGATACTATACAATAAACAACTGAAACAATTGTTTCATTTTTGTCTCATGACCTCATTACATCGTATATATATATATTAAATTTGCTTATTTTGTACTTTTACATTTTGTGTACTTTTGGCAGTCTGATCAAATAATGTAAAAAAAATTGGATTTAATTGTTTTCAGTTCATTCATCACTCTCAAGGTCAAGTTGAGGACGTTGCATTTTGGGATACAGCATTGCACACAGTGCATTTTGTTGTATACTGGATGTCAGAGCTAATGTAATGCAAACATAGAATTATGTATATTTTGTACATACTCCAAGGATCGTAATAGCAGCATGTTAGCATGCTATTCTAAACAAGAAACTGATTTGAATACAGCAGTTTGGTGATGCTAATGGTGCATACATTTCACTTTAAGAAAAATAAATTTGTATAACACTAGGTCTGGCAGCCGACAGCGACATGACTAAAAAGACACTGTTCAATGTTACTGATAAACAACTTGAAAGAAGCAAACAAAGATGTTATCGTCCATGTTGCTTTTGTGGGCTAACGTTCCCAGAGCGCTGGTCGGAGGGCCTTCTGTTTGACACCAGATACATCAGAAAGCAGTGCTTTGAGACGTGACTCTCACGCTGAGTGCGAGCCATAAATAGTGCAAAACGCGGCTGTTCATTTGAAATTCATTTTGGATGCATAAGTGCTGTTACCTGTCAAGACTGATGACACTATATAACACTAATGGTCTGCAGATGCTGTTCAACAGCTGTGGTGGGTTTAAACTCAAACACTTACACTATTCAGCGCTAACGCTATGCTCGTTTTCTTTTTTGTACTGAATTTTGATAAGACAAAGCACCGGATCTTACAAGCCTCTGCTAGCTGATTATAATACATGCTATAAATGTGATTCCCATCTTTGTCTTATGGTCAGATGGTCATTTCTACACCTCTGGTGGCGGTTACCAAGACAACTGACAGGCAGCCGAGTAGGCAGCCATGCGTTTTTGCAGGTTAGGTGTGAAGGGACATTGCGGTGAACGGGTCAATGCATGAAGTCATGGCCAGCTATTAATAACTCAGAAATTCCACTTCCAATAAATGAAAATCAGGACAAACAAGGTGATTTAACCCACACAGAGGGGTCCGTAATGTAATGTCGCTGATAGTACAACCTTGAGAGCCGTACAGAATATCAATGAATTCTTTATATAGGCTATGTATTTGTTATTATATAAATAATTGCTTTACACTCACGTTTGCTTTTAACTGAAAACAAACACAGCAGGTTTTAGATCCCCAGAGGACACTCTAGAGGAGAGAAAAGCGAAGGAGGAGGAAAAGAACTTGCCAGGTTTAAGAACGTAAGTCCCTGGTAACTGACACGTCTCCGGTATCAGCCGAAGGGAGATCGAGCATCAGCAGAGAGAATAAAAGCGGTGTCAGAACGACACACCGAAACAGCCGTGAGAGGAATGGCAAATGAAACCAGAGTGTCATTTTCACACGTTTTTATATTTTTATATTGTCTCGCTCTCATCAGGCCCGTGAACATCCCTGCGATTGGTTTCAGGCTCGGGACTGCCTCCGAGAGAATTAGGATTATATTTATATACTGATACCACACTGTAAACATTGATGCCATACACAGACATATTTCTTAGCATGAAACCATCAATATGTTCAGAATTTGTTTTAGTGAAAATTAATACATGCTCCTGGTCTTATTGTGAAAGATTCCTCTCAAAAGGAAAAAAAAAAGTCCTTGTAATCTTTAATCTAAATGTAATAACTCTTATTCTGAAATGAATGCATTTTTTGGCTTACATCGCTAAAACATTTATTCAACCACCTGTCATACAGAGCAGGTCTATTCTCGGTAACGCCCACATTTCACAATCTAATCAATAAAACTTTTTTTTTTTAATCCTCAGAATATTATTTTATCCCAAAATACGTCATATTCTAGAAAAAAATGGGTTGGAGACACTGTATTATGTTAATGCTAAACATGCATCTGCAATGTCACAATTCATGTAAGGGGAACGAAAAAGTTCTGGAAAAAACTATCTAGGATGCCTAGCGAGATTAGCATACTGTAATCCAAGGCAAACATGCTAATACCACTTGGACTCTTAAACTAGATTGTTCTGCATTTCTTCGCACTAAATAAAAACAGAACACATGCCTCTTAAGAATGACACATTTATACACACACACACACACACACACAAATACCGTACGTATATACATAATTTCTAGAAAATAAAAAAAAGCAGTGTACATTAATAGAACTTGTTTGTGATTAACAAAAATAACCAAGCAAATGTGAATGCTCAGGTGACATCTGCAAAAAGCAAACAAGGTATCCAGTCCTTTACCTGTTTAAATTGGCCCAAAACACCACATTTAAGAGGCATTTGAGACTGAACCCTGAGAGGTTTTAGGATAATCAGAAGGTATGGCTTTCACTGCGGTCAAAGTTACTCAAAAGTTTCACTTTTTCCATTGAAATTGTTGATATTTTATTTATTAGATGGAGCTTTACTTAAAAATCTAGTGACAAGACGGCAAATTCAAACAACACTCTGCTATTGACTTAAAAAGAAAAGAAAACAAAATAATTATAAGTGCATAGATAGAGGGGGGGGAAAAAAAGGCCAAAAAACAAAAAATGTTCACCAAGAGCTTTATATAGGCCTTAAGGTATCCCAGAAAGATCAAAATAACTCAAACTTTGCGATTCTTTCAGTTTGTCATTTTGTAAAAAGACTTTTTAAAATAAAAGTTTAAAATACTCAAGTATACGTACAAACAAAACGTGGGCAGATTTGCAATTACAATGTAAGTCTATGGAACAAGTATACAGCTGCCTCATAGACTTCTACTAAGAGCATTTCTGCATGCACATTTTACAACGTTTTTGTGCTAATCGACATCCTCACCCAGTAAAATATACAAAATAATCTGTCAAAACTGCTGGAGCTAAAACAAACTGATGGCAGAAATGGGACATTGAGACTTTAAGTCGTTGAATTCTTTGTTCAAAACAATCAGAAGTGACGTATCAGGGAAATAACGGCTCAGTTGTGTATATAAAACCTTCATTAAAACAGTAAATAAACATGTTGAAAGGTAGTACAGTGACATTCTAGCACATTCTTCGTTCCTCGATAAGGAACTGCATCGTGGTAAAGACCTCCCATCAGCAGGGGGCGATATGGAGTGGAAAAACAAACACAAGACGAACGTAAACCGCTATGACCAAGTTTAGAAATCACAGGGGTGACGGTTTACAAATATTTCAGTATCAACCTCCAGATGAATCACATCAGACATGACCAAAAACAGTCATTTTGGGTTGCGGATTTAACGTGTCTGTTTTTGGGAAGCGAGAGGGTGATGCTGCAGGCTCATTTCCTAAAATCAGAGATGAAGCGTTGCATACATATCCCCCAGTGCATTTAGCATTTGCAGTGCTCGAAATGTCCTCTCAGCATCAAAAAGGTTTGCAAATGGGTCCTTCATTTCCTCTGATGGTGGATCTTAATCTGTGCTCTCAAATTACCTTTGGACAAACGGGAGCAAGATTTGCATTGGTGCTGTAAACCACCTCTAACCCCCGTTTTTAAAAATACAGGAGTCAAGAAGACGTTCCACTGGAAGGACAAACGTACATTCAAGACAGATGATTTAGTGTCCAATGAACAAATAAGGCACGAGATATTCCGAGCTTAAGCTCCATTTAAAACACACAAGAACATGTTCAAATAAATTTAGCATTTCCATAAACAGGTAGTGGTCAAAGATTGCCGTCATCCAGCATCTTGTTGACTCCTTCACAGATCTTCTGCAAGTGGCCGCGGTATACTTCCGAAGGTCCATACAGCGTCGCGAGGAACTCGCAGTCGGAGAAATGATTGAAGACGTGGTTGATACGGCTGTGAGATTTCGCCGTCAGGTGCCGGTTGATGGCCTGGTGCAGCAGTTCGCGGCAATCGTTAAGCAGGTTGCTCATGACGCGGCGGTCGAAGGTGAAGTCGATCTGGTAGAAGCTGACGGCTGTCATCGCGAGCGTGTGCACCTTCTTCTGGAAGCGCTCGACCAACGCAAGCTCCTCGTTGTTGAACTGTCCATTGCGGTGGAGGACACCCAACTTGACCACCATCTTAATAAGGTTCTTGATGATCTTCTGGGCCTCCTTGCGGTTGCGCGTGTACTCTTTGGTCACCCGGTACAGCTCATCCAGTACCTCGCTGCTGGTGTCATCTATGAAGAGGTTGGCAACCGTCTTAGTCGCCATCTTGCTCATGAGCTTCTTCTGGGCCTGCAGGGCCAGGCTCTTCGTGCTGAACGAGTCCATGATGTCTACGGATGAGACACAAACAAAGACAGCCATTCAAAATGAGCTTTCCAAACATGAAAAACTTAAAAACGGAGCTGTGGCTTAGCATTCTTCCAAACAACCGTAACGCATCCAAATTGGAACAACAGATGTTTATCTTGAGTGTCTCGCCTGGAAGCGTATATGGAAAGAGTAGATGACTCCCACGTTGAAGTCAAAACGTGCCAAACATCGACTCTTGAAATCAAACACAATCTAATGAGAGGGACACAAACCATGCTGTTTATAGTCTCATACAAATAACAGTTCTTTATTGGTTCAACATCCATTGGACAAAAGATTCGTTATAGTGGAAAAGATTCTTCAGATCGTTAAAAGGTTCTTTAGGGAACCTAAAATGGATCTTCTATGGCATCTCTGCAAAAAACATTTGGAAGCTTTATTTTTAAGAGTATATGAAACACGCTAGACATTCATGCTACACGAAGACTTCAAAAGGTTTCACTTCAGGACATTTTCTCATCAAAGAGGCAAGACATAAAAAGGTTTCTGAAGCTACTCCCTATACAGGTTTCCTTCCAGCACATACAAACGTAATGGTAGATTCACAGATTTTGTATGCAACTAAACAATCCGTAAACAACATCCACGCATTTCCGTTCTCACACGGCAACCACTACACTTTAGATGGTTTAACAAAACAATGGACATCCTAAGTCTCGTACAAGCCTGACAGGACAATTTCCCCTTCTTAAAATGACCGCTCCCTGGGGACGTGTTGCTCACAACAGAATCCCTTCAAGTCTGAGTCACTGCAATGAATTGTTGCTAATTAAACCACAGAAGTCATTATGAAGTGATACCGTGCGTGGTCTGAGACTGGCGGATTCTCCAGCACATTGTCTTTTTGCACACACGCCATTTGCATTTCTTTGAAAAGGCCTGTTTGATGTGACTCAATTCCCTGAGAAAATCTTCACGAGACTGTACCCCTGGTTAGCGGGACTTCTAACGCCGACTGTTTTCAGAGGATTGCATGCAGATTGCTGAGCCTCGTATTAATGTGTCGAGATTAAAGGTAAATTAGTTTGAGAAAGGGACATGGCGGGGAGACTGGACTCCCGACAGAAAAATGCTAAATTTAGATGCATTTGGCCATTACTAACTGCTGTCAAAATACTCCCGCAAAACAGATGACACCAAAATCATCACAAGGAAATCTGGTCTCAGAAAGGAAATGGGTTTCCAGGCCAGATTTCTCAGTTGATACAAATCTGAAAACGTGAAGTCTACATTCTTCTCTCGTTTCGCATTGCCAACTGCAGCAGCATAAAATAGCTGAACGCTGGCCAAGCAACATTGGACAGTAACCAGCTTCACAATGTTATAATTAGTGGCGAGTTTTCCATGGGTGGAAACAAAACAAGACATAAAAGCTCATGTAACAACAGAGACCAGCGTGACCCCTGATATCCCAGCAACGCTCATGGTGTTTGATTCAGCACTGGACAAAGACGTTGTAACACAAAACTGAGGTTTTCAGTTGCTCAGCATCAACCAGAAGCCAACACTCACCTTCCTGGAGGTATAAGGTTGCGTTCTCCATGATTGGGGAGTGGGAAAGCAAGAGATTGTGGAGGACGGTGGAGAACATTGGAGATCACTGAGCCATGCCTGTCTGTCTGAACTGATTGTTTCAGGTGTGTGAGGCTGTGAGTGATTTCACCTGTAGGTTTGGCTGTTAGCTCCTACTGGTGGATGATGGAACTACACCCAATGGATCACTTTCTCCAAGTATACTTGACCTCCTTGACATCTAACAAGCCTCCCCAGCAATTATGCCTTGAGGAACCAAGGAACAAGCTTCCTGAAGCTGGAAAAGCCAACAAAAGCGCTCCTGTCCAAACTCCAACTAACATCTAGCTCTGTTTTCAGTTATGGACTGAGGCAACAGAACCCCAGCATGTAACAGCAGCATGTCTTTCATGTGGTTTTGCTCTTGTTTGCTGCGTTTGGTCTTATCGATCGTCTGCTGTGCAGGGTTCATGTGGTATAGTCAAAATGATACAAAAAATGCACTCTTTTTTTTTTCTGGCCACACAGATCTAGAGAAGCCTGCGGTGACGTGAATTATTCAGCGGTTTCACAGAATTGTCCTGCATTTTAATAATGCATGAACCAATTTAGGAATAAAGGTTTGGGTCGACTAAATGTGTTTTTGTGCAAAGGTGATCAAAACCTGGAACGTTCATTATGAGAACGAGTCTCTCCGACAGAATTAGCGATCGTGAGATACAAGATGCCGAAAAGATAAGAAAACGAACCTGTTGTTTGTTTAAATAAATTGAAGAGGTGAGAAACTGCAAGCCAGATCTACTCCAAATGCCGCTCTGATTATTCTAATTTGAATAATAAGAACAACAACAACAATAATAATAAATATTATTATATTTTATTTATTAAATAATACAAATATTTGCAATTGAGATCATTAAAAAATATTATCATTTTAATAAAATTTAAATAATTAAATAAATAATTTGTGATTTAAATAATTATTTAATAATTATTATTATTATAAATAATTTGTGATATATGTACACACATCTTTGAGTAATTATTGTGTATTTTGTGTAAATCTGTGTACATTTTTGCTGTGATTAAATTGTTTATTTTAATGTTTAATTATATTTAAATGTTTAATTCATATTTCAATTATTATGATATTATACATATTTATTTAAGAATTAAATAATTATTCATTTCTGTGATTTTTAAGTAAATATTTAGTAAATCTTGTGCAATTTCGTGTACATTTCTTTTGCTGTCATTAAATTTGTTCAGTTGAAACTGAAAAACCTGTTTTCCAGTTTAAAAAAAAAAGGTTAATTGTGACTTTATTTCTTGGAATTGCAACTTTGAACAATTGCAGTTTAGTTTCTCATGCTATCTCATGCTAATTTGTCTATCTCATAATGTGACTTTATTCATTATTTTAAACTTTATGTCTGTATGTCAACAAAGCCTATGGCTTGATAATAAAGGCTTTGGGAGTTTGTTCGAAATGTATTTGCATATGATAAATGCCAGTTAACATGAGCCTTAAAGCCCATAATAACTGACTATTGAGTACAGGACTTAATGAAGGTTCAGACAATCTGAAGATACATCCCAGACAACTGAAAGAACGCAGACGGTTAATGTTTCCTAGGTTACAACTGAAGCCTCCATGTAAGTGAACTTTGCAGTCCAGTTAATAAGGTCATATCCCCCTGTCTCTGTCAATGAGTTACCGGCCTGTTACTCTTACAGACGTTCCATTGTATTAGCCTTCATCTCAAATATGTATTACACTAGTATGCTTCTTTTGCATGCATAGAAATGTAGCCTACATCTGTCAAACTAGCAATTAGTGTTGACATAATGTGCATAATGTTAAAATTACATAAGGTTCAAATTGGTCTATGCATGCAATAAAAGCACAAGTTCTGTTTTATTCTCAAAACAGAAGTACATTGTAGAGAATAACTTTATGCATTGACATCACTGAATAAACAGTATGCACTCAATAATAAAAGCATGTGCATTCTATGCAGAACTGTTGATTTTCATATAAACACAAATGAAAAAAGGGGTTCATGAATGCACAACATGCAGAATAATGTGTTACTGAAGGCAGTCAGAAACTCACTCACCTCTCCACTGTTTGAACCGGATACTGGGCGTCTAAAGAGCAACTTTCGTTCTTCAAACCTCCATCTAAACACCCCTGACAACAACCTACAGCCACATGAATAAGGCTTACAAATATCTTATAAAGACGGTAAAAATGTGTCCAACAGGTATGTGTTGGGTCTGCGCCGCTGCTGTAAATAATTCAAGTGTTTTCTTCTCCCTCTTTTCGCGTTTGGTTACCAGTTTGTAACCTGACTCCACCTTTTCGAAAAGTTTCGAACTTGAGGGGCCAAGGCTCTCGTTGAGTGACGTTCTAATTGACCAATCACGCTCGGGTTCTGAATCCCAACGGGCCAATCAGAAGGCAGAGAGGCCCGTGCGTCCAGCCTTCCACATGGCTTCCCGTCGTTATCCTGTGAAAATCCAAAGGCTGAAAATTTCCCAGAGAAAATTCTGTTGAACATTGAAGGGGGACTCTCGTAACTAGTCATTTGTCATCACACACTCTCTCTCACACACACACACACACACACACACACTCTCTCTCACACACACACACACACCTGTAATTTGAACTCTAATGTACCTGATAGTTTTATTATGCATGTATTTTTGTGCTTCGTTAACTTTGCATGAAAGGTACGAGACAGATTGAACATCCAGTCATTGCTCTCCGGATGTCTTTGACCTGTTTTTTTCCCGTTCATTAATGGAACACATTTAGAAACATCCGGTGGCTGTAAATAAACACTAGAAAGTCTTACCATATAACATCCTCTTCAGTGACTGCTGACACAAACAGCCCTAACACCTGCGACCACAGATGGTGATAATCCTGTACGTTAATAATACACAGGAATGATACTTATTCTAAATGTAATGACATTTTCTTTCTCTATTTTTTTTTAACACGAATGCATGAAATTTCTCAACATCAATTTATTATTTTAATAATGCTTTTACTACTATTATAATTTGTAATTTATTCAGACCTTTCACTAGGCTATATGGTTTATATATGGAAGAATGCCGCGCGTAATTATGGGATGTTACTGTACACAGGCCAATGGCGCCGCCTAGTGTTACAACTTTGTATTGCTGCGTTTGGGACAAATTTTCTTCAATTATAATTTTCTTAATATACTTTTTTATTGAATGCTTTTTAATGAATTAATTAAATAATTTTTTTGTTTTTACATTTTGAATTAATTTATGGGTCAATTAGACATAAGCAGCTACATAACGGTCGGATAATCTGTGAACATGCATTTTTTTAGCACACATTTCTCATTTGAATGTCATTTTGTTCCATTTTGGTTTGTCATCACATAATAAATTACTAAAATAGCCAGATCCACTAATAATAATAATAATAATAAAGTCTTGCAGATGTAAATGCAGACGTCAAATAGACGTCTCGGTGATGTACGTGTGCTATCAGGGAATAATAATAATAATAATAATAATAATAATAATAGGCCTAATAATAATAATAAACGCCTCCAGTAATATAGTACAAGTCTAAACGTCTTCATGTGATTATTGTTGATTCATCTAGAAGGAATCTAATGCAATGGTTTAAAGTTTAAACAATCTATACTAATGTGATTATATATTCATTATTTATATATGGAAGAATGCCGCGCGTAATTATGGGATGTTACTGTACACAGGCCAATGGCGCCGCCTAGTGTTACAACTTTGTATTGCTGCGTTTGGGACAAATTTTCTTCAATTATAATTTTCTTAATATACTTTTTTATTGAATGCTTTTTAATGAATGAATTAAATAAATTTTTAGTTTTTACATTTTGAATTAATTTATGGGTCAATTAGACATAAGCAGCTACATAACGGTCGGATAATCTGTGAACATGCATTTTTTTAGCACACATTTCTCATTTGAATGTCATTTTGTTCCATTTTGGTTTGTCATCACATAATAAATTACTAAAATAGCCAGATCCACTAATAATAATAATAATAATAAAGTCTTGCAGATGTAAATGCAGACGTCAAATAGACGTCTCGGTGATGTACGTGTGCTATCAGGGAATAATAATAATAATAATAATAATAATAGGCCTAATAATAATAATAAACCATGCCTCCAGTAATATAGTACAAGTCTAAACGTCTTCATGTGATTATTGTTGATTCATCTAGAAGGAATCTAATGCAATGGTTTAAAGTTTAAACAATCTATACTAATGTGATTATATATTCATTAAAGAGAGTGCATTTAAAAAAAATAACATTAAGCAAATTATCTTTGCTAGTTAACATGAAATGTACTTGAATAAAACGGAAATTCTGAAACCCTACTAGCCATAATAAACAAAACCTTTGAATTTCCTTCCCTTTTCTGAGACGCATATTAACAGTTAGTCCACATGGTAATTATGCTACTGTCACTTTAAACCAGTTCCTGTTCTCTCTCTCTCTCTCTCTCTCTCTCTCTCTCTCTGTGTGTGTGTGTGTGTGTGTGTGTATGTGTGTGTGTGTGTGTGTGTGTGTGTATGTGTGTGTGTGTGTGTGTGTGTGTGTATGTGTGTGTGTGTGTGTGTGTGTGTGTGAAGATAACGGGCCGCCGCTTGATTTAGGAAGTCCGAGTCATTTTAGCGATTCGGTTTGTTCGAACGATTTGTTGCAACTTGCAACGACAATTTATACGTTTTCTGTAGATAAAGATATAAACATTTAGTTAAATGAAACCACTTTATCAGTGCAATTGATTAATTTGTATAAACTAATATGTTTCTTCCTTTATATGCACTTGCGATATCCAAGTTGTTGCTCTGAGGTGCTGATATTTTTGTTCCAAATCATTTCGAATCGCAATTAAACTATTGTCACATATTGCGATATTTATTCTTTTTTATGTTTCCGACATATCGTACATTTTCTACATCCAAACACATCTGGCTACTGTCAAGTGATTCATAAGCGCTTTGCGAATCGACTCTATTGAATCGTTCAAAAGAACCGGCTGACACGAGCACAAGGACATCTTCTGCTTTTTTTGCTCACTAACCTCAACTTTTTAACAGCGCGGCGCGTCTGCGCTTCTCACGGGAGACTTTAGCTCAATTTTAGACACATATTCATAGACATTTGTGTTTTTTTGTTCTCGTTGTGCGTTTGTGAATAGCCTGTATCACGTGTATTACATGCTGAGCGATTAAGTGCGCAGGTTCATTTGAATCTATTCATTTGGCGATTTTTATTTCTATATTCGAGCCACATATGGACATACCGAGGGATAGTTTCTGCTTTAAACCTCTCGACATGAGATGAAACCCAGAGGAGATGCTATATATACTGAATAACGAAAAGAAGAGGACGCGCTATTTGGGCACATGAATTGGACACACATCACATGCGCGGAATATAAAGAGGCGAATAGACACACACTGGTTATGGTTTTTATGAGCCTTTCGTTTCAGGATTGCTCAGAATGCTTAAATTGTAAGCCATCAGCTTAAATGTATAATATAGGAATATAGGAGAGATAATGCAGGCATGCTGAATCATGTATTGTGCAGTTTTGTAACCATACTGTAAGGGAGGTGTTATAGTGGATATTATATACAGATAAGGTTTCCTGTTATAGGCTATTTAAGCAGATGATGGTGGCACACTAAACCCATTAACACCCAAATGGCTGACATGGCATATATGCAGTATAGGATATAAAATAATCTCTGTTCTCTTGGCATTAGGGTTCAATGTTGGAATCTGTTTGTGTGGCATAATTTGTTAATTAGCATTAGTAGTTTATAAGTCTTAATTTAGAATACAAGAAAAGACGGGACACTTCAGAGACTGTAATCAGCAGCTATAGCACTTTTGCATTGTGCATCTCCATTGCTTTCCAGCCCCTAAGTGGCTTGTTATTATAGCAGTTATTGTAGTATTTCTAGTATTATGGACACCAATCACATGGATGATGGTTCCTCCAGCAATGGCATGGAGATGGAGATCATGCCTGGCTATATGGAGTTCATCACCAGAGCTTATTCAGTCATGTTCAGTGCCTTTAGAGACTGTAAAGACTGCGGACTGGAGCTGTCCAGGAGAACCTTGCTGGATCATGCATACATATCCTGGATGGAGATCTTCATGTTCCTCATGTGCGCGGTCATGTGGACGAAGGTGCGCAGGGGACTGACCATGTACGTCTTTGAGGTGAATATACTGCAGAAGTCACTATCAATGCAAATGCAACTAGTGACAGAGTGGTATCAGTTATTTATATTGTGTACAATAAGTGTTCATTTTATTTAAACAATTCAAATTTCGGTAACGGCTATTGAAAAACCTAAAAAGTTGAAAAAAGTTCATTAGAGTAGCCTGTAAATGTATGAGTATCAAACACTAGGTCTCGAAAGCATCACTGGCTCCCTCAATGAATATTTGAAGCGTTTCAAAACATTGGACGTTGCATAACCATTTGTATATTAAAGGTCATTTGTGCATCTAGATGTTTCTGTACTAATACCCATACTTGGTGTTGTGTACAAGCAAACCGCTCATTTAGACTCAAAAGTCTATTTTTTTAGCTCTTGTTGTTTCTGGACAGCAGTATAACAGAAGTCTTGACACTTGATGCAGAAAGTGCACAAGTCCTTACTTCAACTGTGAATGTAAAATGTGTTTGTGGTGTAGGTTATCCTCTGTTGAACCAGAAAGTCGTCAGAAATTTTGTTCGCTGTTCACAGGCCAGTGAAATTAATTTGAAACCCACCATGCAAAGTTACAATGTGCGCAAGAGTTACTTTACATAGTTTTTTACTTTGCATTTTACCTTTTACATACAAAGATGGCTGTGCAAACAGGTCATATTACTATCAAGTTTCCTAGACATGAACTTTACCAAATTGATATTATGATATCCCCACATTTTGCAGTTGATGCTTATTTTAGGCCTAGCTGACGTATGCAAATGTCAGTTTCACTTCCTGTCCTGAAACGTGTGGGGCGGAAACATAATTTTCATGTGCGTTTATGACTCTTGCTGGCTCAGCACATGCATGTGTTGCAATTCCCTGGATCAATACCACCATGATTCATGGGTGCTCTGCATTCATGTTTCCTCTGGCCTGCGGTTTATTCCCTCTTCTGTAAATTCTTTTCTCTCAACGCATTGAGAAACCCTGACGGATGGCATGGGGCAGCTGGCGTGATGTTTATACGGAAATATGTGACATGTCAGGACCTTGTCTGGTTTGTAATCCTTGAGTAAAAGACAGTGAGGCCTTGGAAAAGAGTTGCAGCACTGTAGTTTGTGATTAACAACAGGCAAGGCTAAAGCATTCGTCACTAACAGACCGTTAGTCACTTATCAGTGTATCAGGCCTGAATAACTTTTGTTTCTTTGCTAATAATATCCCTCTCTATGAAAGAGGGTGTCCCCTTCTACACAACACAACCATACGATAAAACCATTGCTTGCTACCCACATGCAAAAAATCTATCAATCAATATGAACCAGATGGGATTCTGGTGTACTGGTATACTGGCAAAAGGCTTCTTTAAGGAATAGTTCACCCAAATAGAACCTGTGTGTTTTTTATTGCAAACTCATAGGATAGGTTTAAATGAGGAACAGATTATTTACTGATAATCTTGCCTGCCAGTTAAAGGGTTAGTTCACCCAAAAATGAAAATTAGGCTGCGTTTTACTCACCCCCGAGGCATCCTAGGTGTATATGGCTTTCTTCTTTCAGACGAATCCAGTCGGAGTTATATAAAAAATTGTCTTTGATCTTTCAAAGGGATCACGTCACTCCGCTCTTGAAGACCCTTCATTGGTTGCCTGTTCAGTTTAGAATACATTTTAAAATCTTATTATTTGTTTTTAAATCTATGCACAAGTTTTGAAGCAGGGCAGCTGGTTTAAGCTGGTCATGAGCCGGTCCTAAGCAACTAGCTCCTGCTCAGGACCAGCTCATGACCAACTAAGGACCAGCTTAAACCAGCTGCCATGCTTCAAAACATACCTAACCAGCATATGCTGGTTTTTCAACAGGGAATTGTCAACCCCTGGAATTGAGTCAGTGAGTTGAACCTGAAAACCGGATGACTTTGTAAAGGAACTGGGTGAACTGATTCATTGAAAAGATTTGACTCAAAAGGTTAAATCATTCTGATTCATGAAATGTGCCAAGGATCGCTGGCTTGGATTTGAAGGTTTTCAGTGATTAATGACTTAAATATGGGTCTGTTCTTTACTCTCAGCTATCATATGATTTCAGAAGTCATAAAATATAATGCACAAGTCATATGGAGCCGTGTTTTGGCTGTCTGAACTCACTACTGCAGTTTTAGTATACTGTACTTTGGCCACAAGATTGTCTTGTATGTCTTGGGAGATCATTTCTGACACAGTCTGCAGTTTTTAAAGTGTTTTGTGGACTATGTCCTGCACTCACAAACACATGCGTGCAGTACGTAATATGATCTTTCTGCCTGCTTTTTAAATGAATCTCCATGTTGCCTAATAAACAATTTATGGCATGAGCTCTTAGTGCTAATGAGGCCCATTCATTTTTTAAGTTCCCTTGCACTTTCACGTTCTCAGACTCGATGGATGACTAGCACAAGGCCATCTGGCCAGTACTGTAAACTGTGTGTGTGAAAAAATCAAGGTGTTGACTGTGTGCTGGGAGACCGAACGCATGCTGTTTTGACCTTTGATGAGACTGTGATGATCGCTATTCACTGGACCAGAGGATATTTTCAGTAATCACTCCACTACAATCAACAACAATATCGTGTTCTGGCAAACAACATCAGCTGTCTGAAGAGCTGCCAAAGAAATATCATGTCACGCTGTGGATTCTGCAGTCGCTAACCTTTGAGTTCTGTGTGTTAACAGCAGTTCGTACAGACAGAGGTCATCAGCTCTTCAGATAGTAAAGTTACAGATCTGTTTGAACAATTTACATTCTTAAAGGGATACTCCACCCCAAAATGAAAATTTTGTCATTAATCACTTAACCCCCATGTCGTTCCAAACCCCTAAAAGCTTCGTTCGTCTTCGGAACACAATTTAAGATATTTTGGATGCAAACCAGGAGGCTTGTGACTGTCCCATTGACTGCCCATCCAAAATATCTTAAATTGTGTTCCGAAGACGAACGAAGCTTTTAGGGGTTTGGAACGACATGGGGGTAAGTGTTTAATGACAAAATTTTCATTTTGGGGTGGAGTATCCCTTTAACACGTGCTGCACAATCATAATTATGACAGCAGCAGGTGCACTGATCTTTAATTTACTTACCTGTTAAAAGACTGTCAATAAATTTTTAAGTAGTCAATTATGTATATGTCTATTGATTGGACAATTTCTAGATTTTGAAATTGACACACAATAGTACTTATGGTTGATGACCAAGCAGAAACAGTTATCATCTAATGCTGATAGAAGATTCTTCTAAAATCTCCGAAAAGTAACATCCCCATATATCGACCCTGAAAGGCAATTAAAGCACTCGTTAATTTATGAGACATGATAAACTGCACTGTTCCAAATGCTTGTATTGATGTATTTACAATATGTTTGGTGCTCAGAGTGAAAATGGCATGCCATTATCAGTAGGGATCTAAAAATGTCTGCATCCTTCCTTCCTCTTTGTGCCGCCCTGTTAAGTGTACTCTGATCTCTTGATCAGATGCATAATTTTTACCCGAAATGACTGAAAACAAACTAGTAATTCCAAGAACAGTCAAAGCTTAAGTAAATATAACTCAACCCCAACAGAAAGGGTGTTTGAGGGGCAAATGAGTATAAGATGAGGCTCTGTGGCTCCATCTGGCCTAGGTTTTTATTGACCGGATCTCTTTACGATCTGATCCGTTTATGTTTTGGCACTCTCATAATGCAAGTGAGTGTCTCTTTCCACCCAAAAATGAAAATTATCTTGACTTTTCCAGCCCCTAAGTGGCTTGTTATTATAGCACTTATTGTAGTATTTCTAATATAATGGACACCCTTATGTCGTTTTCAACCTTTATGGAGCACATTAGTAGAAGAATATTCATTCTTGACTTTCATACAAGTGACCACATTTGACAAAAGTGATCCATACAAGTTGCATGAAGATTCAAATAAACTTTAAAGGAAAAGTATTGGTTAAGAAAGGCATGAGGATGAGTTAATAATGACAATTATCATTTGTCTTTTATTTATTGTACAAAACCACCTGCTATCCTGAAACAGTTGCTATGGAAACTGCAGGTTTAGCCAATAGTTCGCCACTTGTAAAAGACCCCAAAACAAAATGTGTTTTAGTCACATTCAGTCACCAGTTTCAGGCTGGGTTCAGCTCAACCCTCGCTTCTGCTTGCCATTCATGTGCTGGGAGAGCGAGAAGCTGTTGGCGGCCTAATATGGGTTGCAACGTGTCTTCCGTAACAAGACCGCTTTCCCTGAGGCAATTTCTTCTGCTCAGAGGGTGGTTTTCCAAAGCTCAAGAGACTTTTTGGGGAACTCATTTGTGTTTCATTAAGTTTCTTCAACGATTCCTAAGGAGAAAAGACAAGAGACACAAATAAAACACAGCTGACAAGAGTAAGAGAACAGATCTATGAAACTGATGTGGATAGCATAGCTAAAATAACCAATAAAATGGTTATATTGAACCATATTGAAGATCATACTTTTTCTTGGCAAATCCAAGCATACTCTGAGACACTGTTGAAATCTCTTCTGAGCATTTGACCAGAAGAAAACAATCAATCTGAGAAGCATTGAACGTCTTCATTGAACTTCTAAAGCAAGCAAATGGAATATTAAAGAGATCTCGTTCGTGGGTGTGTCTTTTGGGACCGGCCTGAACTCATCTTTGATTAATTAGTGGCCATTAGACCACAGAGCAATGTCAGGCTGCTCAGCTGAGAAAGGATTGTGCTTTCTATCACAACCATAAGCTGCAGTCATCCGCCATGCCGCAGCCACCAGCATCAGCAGCAGTCAGCCTAAACCTCGGGGCCTCAGCTAGAGGCAGTGATAGACGAACGGGGGTGGGGCATTTTGGTGACAGCTGGCCTCTATAAATAACCCCAGCGGGTGGAGGCGGAGAGCAGAATCCTGCAGTGTGCGCCACATTGCCTTATGGCCAATCAGAGGCAACCATGAGACCTACATCCTCAAGAGTGGGGGCCAAACAATGCCAACATACAGTATATGCCTAGTTTCGAAGGCCTACTTTCTTTGATTGTCTTGAGCACAAGGGAGGGTGCAGATCAGGTAACGGCAAGTAAAGGTGGTGATCATGAATAGATAAATGATTAAGACAAGCTTTTAATCGCATCTTCGGTTACTGTGACATTCGGCTTTTGTCACAGGATAGTCTGTCACAGGAGAGATAAGGTGATGGCATGTCAGTACACAGATAAACATATGAACAAAATACCCAAGTTTAGCAAAGGTACTACTTTAGCTTGGGGCTGTTACCGTCAGTGGGTCATGTGAGTCATCCAATGTCGTGAGTCATCCAACGTCGTGAGCTAATCATAGTGGCATTTTTATAACTCATCCTACTTTAGAAAATCACAAAGATGCTTTACTATTTCTTGTTTTGTTTCATGTGAATTTATAGTGTATTTAACTTGAAAAACATTTGGAAACTGATTTTGCACTGTTGTGGTTGCATGACATCACACTAACATTGTAGCACCTGGGGAGATATACAAAGTAAATGTTAGCTTTCACTTTCAAGCAAATTAAATACATAAATGAGTCAAAGTTACTATGTACAGCATGGTAAATTGCCCTTTCTGTTGATAATTTTACCTGGTAGCATTGTGTAGCATTATTTGTCCTCTGCAATTTGGTTGTTTGTTGACGAATGAACACTTGCTATTCAAATGCTAGCACTGTAATTTCATTCTTTCCTCTTGTCTTTCACAGCCTTTTGCACAATGGTGTTGCATCCAACCAAAAGATGTCTCAAAGATGCCAGAGAGTGCGTGGAAGCTGGTCTTCTACACAATGTCGTGGTCATACAGCACATACCTTTTGTTTTTCACTAGCTATTCCTTCTTTCAAAACCCCCCATCTGTGTTTTACGGTAAGCTTCATACCTGATGCATGTCCTGTTTTTGTAAGTAATAATTGTTTTTTTAAACCCTGTCAGGCCTGTATAACTCAACCCTTGATTTCTTACAATGATTTGAGTTGTTTAGTAAACATATTGCATAGGGCTGCACGATAAATCGCATGCGATGTTTAACGCGCATCTAATCAGTAAAGCCGGTTCTGTAATCAGCGGTAAATCTCCATCACAATGCGGCCTTTCACATTGAGCAGCATTAACTACACAGAGTCGTTGTTCACTGACGAGCTGCGCAAAACCACGTTCATATTCGCACGATTTTTTGCGCAGCTCGTCAGTGAACAACAGCTCTGTGTAGTTAATGCTGCTCAATGTGAAAGGCCGCATTGTGATGGAGATTTACCGCTGATTACAGAACCGGCTTTCTGACAAGATGCGCGTTAAATATCGCATGCGATTTATCGTGCAGCCCTAATATTGCATGCTACTTTTAAATGGTGTAAATATACTTAATATCAACTGAAATATACTTAGTTATCATTGAAAGTCCAACACAAGTTTACAAGGGAGTTACACACCTTGAGGAAAATGTTAAATGTTTAATGACTAAAGATCTGGGCCCGTATTCACAAAACATTTTATCTTAACACTAAGAGTTATCCTAAATAGCAGTAAAAGTTTTTAGCTAAGAGTTTTCTCTTAAAACCTATTCACAAAGCTGCTGAGACAAACTTTTACTAAGGAATAGAGAGAAGTCTTAGCTAAGAGTAAGGGGGCAGGGTTGACCTCGTTGCTATTGATGATGTCTGCATGCTTACTAACTATGCACACAGTGATTGGCTGATTGTCTCTGTCAGAGATTTATTCATATAAATATTGTAGAGTGCAATATTATGCTGCCATGTTTAAATAAAGGTTTAAAAATGAAAAATGTTAATTGCCACATTCATAAATAAAGATTATAAAATGCAGGATAAGTGTCACTAATTAAACAAGTATATGTTCAGCATAATCAAAGGAAAATTTGGAGTTGGGATAACCCCCAAAACCAAAGCCGATACCTTTTTAAAGGGGGTCATATAATGCTACATGCACTTTTACAAGTTGTTTGAACTGAAATGTGTGTTACGATTGAGGTCTTCTGTTGTTGGATGTAATAATGAACATTGCAGTCGTCGTTTACTCCCGACATCTGAGCCGCTGAAGACGCAGT